GGTTGGCAACTCTGCCTGTGTAAGGGGGGCTGGAACCTGATGATCTTTCCAGGTCCCTTCGATCCAAGCCTTTCTGTGATTCTATGTTATGTTGCACTGAAGAAATGCAAAACACTGTTAATTCACCTCATGATTAGAAACTATCTAATATATGCAGTAGCAGCTGGGAAAATGCATCTAACACATACTAATACATCTTCAGACTACAGTTTGCATTCTGGGAATAAATCCACATTCAAAATCACCTTCAGTTTGGATTTTTCTGCCTCATTTCTCCCATAGCAAAAGTAGCAATGTAAAGAACAATACTACTGTAAAATAAATAAACAAAGAAAAACAAATCTAAACCATTTGCATTCACTTTCTTTCAAGTCTGAAGAACTAAAAATAAGACTTCTCCCAAGTGGCACAGTAGGAATTGTGCAAAAGCTACAGAAGTTCAAAGACTGGTCACTGAAGCAACTTTAGCCTTTTGAAGTATTGAATTCACTTTGAAGAGGAGGACCAAACACTGCGCTTGTACCTGAAAGGTGAGTTGGAGATCCAAAGCCCGGGATTTTCATAAAACCTTCATGAATTCATGCCCCGCTCCAGCATGCAAGTCTCTCAGAAATTTACAGAACAAAAACAGAAGGAGCTTCCGTGAGCTGTGGAACCTTGCACTACAGCTGCCCAGCAGCAGTCCCACCCATGTGGCAGGCAGTCCTCTCAGATATTTCTAAAAGTTTTATTCTTTAGCTGCAATCTGACATTTTGCAGTGAAACACAATTTTTTACTGTCTAGAAATTTGTTTTTTCACGTTTCTCCCCTGAAGCAATGTCATCCATTAAACGTGCAACTGTGCCAACAGCAGAGTAGTGTTAAACAATTGTCTTTTTCATAACTAAATGGTAATTTTAAGAGGAAGTAATTCTTCTCAGTGAGTAAATTTGTATCATAGTTAAAAGGAAACCAGGTTCCCACCATTCAGAAACCTGAAGAGTTAGCTTACCTTCAAATTTCAGCATTTGTAATCCCTTCCCTTGCTCTATCATTCCAGAAAATACAAGTCTGGTTTCAGAAAATACAAACCTGGTTTTGCTATTCAGAACATTCATATCTCCTCCGGTCTTTCAGAGGCTACAGAGCACTCAACTAGTTACATATCTTCCACCAGGGCACCATCAACTAGTGCATATCTTCCACCAGGAGTGATCTGTTGCCTCCAGCAAAGCAGTAAGCAAGAAGTTCAAAATCCTTGCAGTGTTATTTGTGAGTCTGTCTAGAACAACTTTAAATAAAAAGCCTAAACCCGAATGCCTTGGCTTCCATGCTTTGCCAGTCTGCTCAAGCAGCTAAGGCATAAACAGAAAAATGGAGAGGAGCTGTTAAGCTAGCTGTCAATTACTTGTACTCCTGCAGGACTAAAAGCAAACAAGAACTGCTAGCACTTGTGCAAGCTCTGCAGAAAAGAAAGCTGGTTCTATTTTGCAGACATACATGGTGACAACATAACCAGGGCATACAACAGTTACTCAAAGATTGAGTTTTACTCCTAATGTTGTTTCTAAGGCTTGACAAGTTACTTTGTCTCTCTGTGTTTCTGATCTGTACTACAAAACAACATGTAATATTTTGTGCTCCTTTGTTTACAGTTTTGAAATTGATTTACAACATAGAGATGAGTTTAATATCCTAAGTGAGTTATTTCAGGAGAAAAAAGCAGATCTCAGAAGAGTACAGAAGGATATATATGCTTGTCACACTGAATTTGCAGATAGGATCATAAAAGCAAAAGTAGGCACACATAATCTGATGCATACACTGCCCTTTCAAACAGAGAATGTGTACACAGCCATCTTATTCCTAGGCTGCTACCTTAAAGTGAAAAGTCCTAACATTAATATCCTGCTAGAGCCACAATGCATTTTAATATTTTAAATGAGCAGTTTTGACTTGAGAGCTCTGTAGACACATTTATCATTCAGCTGTACAACCACACTATAAACTGTCAACTCCTCATCTCTGTCCACTTTGACAAATTACTCTTGCAACAGCATTTCCAGTTATCCTTAGCAGCCAACACACCTCATAAATCCACATCATTGTAGTGTTATTAGAATTTCATTTCATGCTCGCATTTGCAAACATTTAAGCTTTCAAGCTCTGCTGCTGGGCATTAATCATGGAATTAATCATCGGATTAAGAATGCCAAATTTAAACTCAAGGTTAATAACATGTTCAACCAATATTAGTTTTACATTCTGTCACAGGGACAAAACTTAAATAAATAGATAAATATAAGATCTTTGTCTGAAGTTTCCAAATATACACACAGGTGAAGGTACTTAATGCACTCTTGTTCCATTATGAAACAAGAAGTTGCCCAAATTCTACATTTCTTCTTAAAGAAAAATTCACATCCCTACACTCTTGGAAAACCAGTTGGCCTCCATAAACTGATAAAGTCTGTACATTAGAAAAATATGTCCTTTATATCATCTTGGTTTAAAGTTTATAGAAATACTGTGAATCCCCTAAAATATGTTGGCTAGCAGATTAGACAACAAAAATTGACAAAAAATTCAGAAAGTTCTACAAGTATAATATCTATAAGAGCACTTGATACAATCTTATGCACAATGTTAAAGCAATTTAGAAAATATTTCAATATAGACTAGTTTATTTCACAGCATTCTAAGAAGTGAAACCTAATGAATCCTCTTACACCATTTATCAATTAGAAGATGTATTTCATTCACCAGCAAGATGAGAATGGCTTCTTCATGCCTCTTCCTGCTAGCTGTGAACTTACAAGCAAAAAGCCAACGGCTCATAGCAGTTCCCAAAAGAATAACTGAACTGCTATTTACTACAATTTTTATACAATTTTTCATCCAAAAGGTTTAATATTTACTAACATATATGACATTTAACATTACCAAGTAATATATTTACTGAATGCAGAGCTTTAAGTGGTAACTTTTCCCTGCTTCACCAACATCCTGAAAGTTTGATTCAAGATTTCCCTAAAAGTCGTGAAGTTTCAGCTGAACAAAAGAATCTGAATCCAACTTCCACAGTCATAACTGAGTTCCAGATCAGAACACTGTTAGTGTACTCGTCCCTGTAGACTTAGAAGTTTATTTCAGGAAGGTACTATCTATTTGGCATACTAACATACGAGTACAATACAATATGGTCCTGATCCAAGACATTGGGTCCTGGCTACTGGAACAGTAACAGCTACCATGTGTAATAAAAATTAAAGAAATAAAGACTGGGGCAAGAAAAAGTTCATAACTTGCACCATACCTACAGAATTTTCATTTGTATGTGAAAGAACAAGTGTTTATGTATATAGGACGATGCCATGTTTCTAACACAGTTACATCATGCTATGTAACATGAAGTTCTGTACTCAGCATCCTTCCTGGAAAACTGAAGCACTTCATTTAGGAATGGAAGAAAACAGCAATGTAACTGATGCACCTGAATGGTGGTTATCTGCATCTGTACAAGCAAAATTGACATTCTGAAACATAAGATGCATAAGGATCAACATCTACTCACATTTTGCCATGAGGATGAGCTGAAATATCAATTATGAAAAAGACTAAAAGCATCAACAGAGTTTTCAAAACTGATGATCAGAGAAGACTGTCACAGAAAATACTGTCACAAGAATATAAAATATTTAATTTGCCATTTAAGAGCATCAGATTCTCACATTCAGTTGACAGGTATCCTCACTTCTAAGATACATCTGCATTAAAAACATGAAGCATCAGCTGGCTGACAGTAGAATGCAGCAAAAATACAACTTCACTAATACTAAAACATAACCTTTCAGTAGAAACTTAGATCAACTTCAGATGATTATGAAACTGTACATTCAGCTTCTATAACAAATAAAGTAAATAAAACAGTAATCCTGTGACTTTCCCATCCCAGCTTTACAGCCCATAAATTAACATTAAGTGCTAGCACTGGAGTGAGTCAAATTTGCAGTTAAAGGCAGCATTATTCCTTTGGATAGGTGTTTGGATATGCATATAACTACTACTTCTGCTTAAAGCAATGCCTCGAGAAGCTCAGCTACCATTAAATGAGTAACCAAACAGAATCTGCTTTCACTACAACTGAGTTACTTATATAAAAGACTGGCTGAAGACAGATACAGAATTTAAGAACTCAACCTATTTCCCCAAATCTTACAGTAACTACACAATTAAAGCAATTTCACAATTCTACAACCACATTAGCTCTCCAACTTGTCGACAGGTAGAAATTCACCATGAATCCATACTGCTACCCAGATCAGTTGCTGTAAGTTAGCAAAATTTTACGAATAAGAAGGGTCAAATGACCAAATACATCTGACTATTTCTGGCATATACACCACAAGCTAATAACTGAGCCCACAGAAAAACTCAATTAATAAAATTTCATCTTGGCGAACAAATATTACTCAGGAAACAGAAAATTCTTGAGAAACAAGCAAACCAACAAAGCATAAGTGCCCTACTCAGCTGTGTACAAAACTAGGACAGACACCAAAAACTTTAACCAATGTTATCTGCAAATTCACTCAAAAATAATGACTTCGGGGGGTTATTATTTTCTGTTAAAAGATTCCACATTGTTCCACTTTCCAAATTTCCCACATTCCAAACATTTCCCCTAATACTCCTGTCTACTGCTACTGCAGGAGCTACATAGAAAATAACAGAAAAGGTATTCAAATGCAAAGATCTATGATAAAGCTTCAGTTACACAAGATATCTAGTGAAAACTCACTGAATGGTGGCTGTTTACACCAATTCAGTTATAAACATTAAGATTCTCCATGCTAGAAACACTTGGAGGATCTAAGAAAAATAGCAACACTTTTCTTAATAATTCTAATTGTTTTCTGAAGAAAATTATGATTTGTTTTGAGAAATTGCTTGCAAATAGTTTCCAAAAACTATGGAGGCACCATAATGTTCCCCTTAGATGGATAAAAAAATTACTGACCTCACTGAGGTAAATAAAAAAGGAGCATGTGGACCCATCTACACCATAACTTGCATAACAGGGATCCGATCGCCACATATCTTTCATCCACTGAAACAAAACAAAGATACAGTCTGTTAGGTTTAAGCACCACATAATAACTCTAAATTATACTATTTCACACTGAAGTCAAAAATAACAGAGGAAAGCTGTGAGTCACTATATCCAAACAAACAAAAATGACAAATAACCAAAAGGAAGTTTGGGAATATTTTGCAGCACGCTGCATGTCAGCATTCAACTACACTGGGGAAGTAATTACATACCAAATTTGAGTACAGTTTATACAAAGTGATAACCACACAAACAGAAGCAAATATCAAAAAGAAAATATATTCAAGGATTCACACATGTGGGTGTGGCTGGAGTTGACTTCTACTGCCCCTGTTACAGCTGCTCTGGAATGTAACAGGCTGTTTGAATTACAAAGATTGGAATCTGCCTGATTCTGGCAAGAATCTGACATTTCTGAAGAAGCAAATGATTCATTTACAGTCTTATTTTAGCAGCTGAATGATGTATTACATAGCCACTTTGCAGCCAGTATGTGAAAATGGACCAAAACATAGGCCAGAGAATCAACAATTAGAGATTATCTTTAAAAAAAATTTAAAAACTGAAAAAAACACACAAAGAAAAAACAAAAAAAAATGAGCACGAGTTTTATTTACAGTAAAAAAAAGGTAACAAAATCCTGCATGCACTTTTCCAGTTTACACCTTCAGTAAAAAAAAATTGTAATACTTGATAATTATATGTCAACATCCAGCAATTTTCCTTTTAGTCCAACTATTAACACAGTCTCCTTACATTTGAAATGTTGTTTGGAAAAAAAAATACCCTCATTTTTAGTAAATTTATTGTTTTTCCTTTCCAATGGATGTCAGCCGAATTTCCATATTTAGTCTTTCCAACTGCAATACTAATAAAATGTATGATTTACAGAGAATTGTGTGTAAATCCTCTAACCAGAATGGAATGATCTTGTTTTATTTACTTATTTTTAACTATTTTTTTTTAAAGCTTTCTATCTAAGTGAAGTTTTAGAGTAAATTGATAGATGTCATCATCCTGAACAAGACAATGGCTTCCTGTTTGGAAATGGAACAACTTCTCTGTTGGGAGCCTAAATTCTAAGTGTTGTAGTGACATGTGCTCCTAATCATCATCTTTTTGACTCAACTTTTCTTCTTTTACACCACTGAGTAGTGACTTCTTGCAAGATATTCAGTTTTTAACAAAATAAACATAACAAATCAAAAACAGCTCACAGTTACCTTTATTTTCCCTTCACAGTGAGGAAAACCATCCATAGGAGGCAATTCACACTGTTCTTGGGCTCCATTTATGAGATCTAAAGAGAAACAGACCATGACTGAATTTCATTTCACAGTTCTAACAGATGGCCTAATGAATCCCTCCTTTTAAGAATCCACATCCAGACATGGCTGAAGAATCCTACTATGTAGTATTTGTTATAACATTAAAAGTCAGAAGACAGCTCCTTTTCCCATCCTTACTACATTACATTATCTGTTTTGAACTACAGTTAGAAATAGAGGAAACATCCTGGTAAGATATCAGAAGTTATGCTGGGAAATATTGCCTGTCTGGTTCAGTGCCCATACTGCCAAATAAGCTTACTCCTGCTTTGTTCCTAGGCTTCCACCATTCTTGTTACTGTTAGAACTTTCTCCTTTGACTGGAACCAGATGTGAGTACATCTTATGCATTCCATGGAAAGTTAGGACCATCTCAAACAGGTACCAGCAATGCATACTTTCAGATAGATTACAAAGAGAGCACGAAGCAAATGGAACCCTGGGGATGTTTATCTACACACCTTGATCTTCCGAATCTAGAAAGAAGTAACAGGTTGTTTCCAAGGTGAAAAAACACACCATTAAGTCTGACATAAATATTATTTTTGATGGAAAATAGTACTTAAGAAATGACTTAGATTTTTGTCCTCAATTAGGATTTATAGCAATTAAAATGCAAATTACGAGGTCTTTTCCCAGCCAAAACTTAGAACTTCAAGCCAACAGTTAGAAACACAAAAAGTATCAAGTCAGTACAGAACAATACTAGATAAGACAATTCTTTCTCTTAAGCTCTGAGTCATAACATTTATTTCCATTCTACAGACACTTAGGGTGTTTTGAACCCAACTTAATTCTTATTGACAAAGAATTATTAAGCATCCACCTAACACGTTAGTACAATGTACAAGTACATTGACAAATTGAAAACATGAATGTGAGCATATTATAAATCTAAGAGTTCACAGATGCTTTTTAATGCAGTGCTCTATGAAGCGAGGTCCTGAGACACTCAATATATCACTGCAAATCCATCCTGATGTTTAGACAGCAGCCATTCAGTTGGCAAATGTATGTGGCTGTTTAAAAATTAACAGCTCTGCATCAGAGATCGCTAGTGCACAGCAGGTGGATCTGAACTTGTGAACAATTATGAGTATTTCAGTGCAAAGTCTGGCACATTCACATGACTGAGTTGGCAGATCTAAGCTAAGCCACCTGACCTTGCACCAGAAAATGGTATTTCTCCTTTGTTGCTGTGCATGAGTAAAGAGAGATTGGGTAAAGTCACACGACTCTGACGCTGTACTATTTGAACACCACTTCACAGGTACAGATCTTCATTGCTCTCACAACTAATCACAACGTCAGTGAGTTTTGTTTGTTTTACTGAAGCTTTATAGCCCCCAAGAGAAAACTATGGCTCAAAGACAAACTGCAATAGGAAAATGATTTTTTGCTTGCTTCCTAATCACTCACTAAGAGAATAGTAAAAAGCAGGATCAGTAAGAGCCACACACGTTTTGTCCCTTTGCTATATGCACATCCTTCAAAGAAAGAGTTCTATGAGAGGCATAAGAATTATTGTGATGTTTTCTCTCTGTCATACAGTTAGAAAGACTGGAAATAATTCATAAAGATAGTAAGCTCAATAAATTATTTAGTTACCATTAATAGAAACAAAGACTCAAAAGAATAGTCATTCAATAGTGATTATTGCTTAGTAGGTATTTCATTTGTCACAAATTTTAAAATAGTTCTATCAGTTAAAACAAATAAAAAAGCCAGAATACTACTGAACTTGCAGACTGTGATACCAGCAGCCTATCTTGCCTTCTAAGGACCAACTCTTCATTCTTCAGAGAATATAAACATCTGAAGAATTTAACATGACACAGAAGCTTGTACACTTAGGAATACTGAGACCAAAACCCTCATTATTAGACTAGATTAAAAAAAAGCACATTAAAAAAACACCATGATTATCTCTAGTACAGGTAATACCTCAACTCAAAGCGTTCCTATCAGGAGTTTTCACAAAAGCAGAATTCTCCTTAGTATCAAAAGGATAGAGTAATCATCTCTCTTTTTTCTGCTTTTGATCAATCAATAAATGTACTATTCTTACTTCAATTCATGGAATTTTCTTTTTGCTTCTATGTCTGTCCAGAAAGTCTGGCATTTAAGGTTAGAAGCAACACTGCAGTTAAAGGTTTTTTTGTTTGTGCAAGATCTCCCTCCCCTTCTCTTCTAATTAACACATTCTGAATTTAATTCACATTTTCCTCTCCAGCTGGTAAGAGAGAGAAATTTGCAGAGTGAGCTGAAAGAACTATCAATGTATTTAAAGAAATCAATGAAAGGTTACAATAATTTTAAATGCAGAGCACAAAATGCTTCCTACTAACATTTTAGAATCTTTAGTAGCAAAAGCATTGGTATGATTTAGAGAAAATTAACTTTCCTACTGTTAGTCCATCCTCACACCAGCTGTGCTGCTGTGTTCCATTAACACTACTGAAATCGATGCAATGTTAGGAGATTTCAAGTAGCAGTCAAGTGGTTAATCAAAATGCAGCCCAGGGGACCACTAACAGCCCCTTTCAGCATTACTAATACAGCTTAGCACTGCAGTGGAAAATAGTCATGTGTGGTCCTCTGCACAGTCATTATACTGTGCTGTAATGGTGAGGCTTGAAAACACACAATTCTCCTTAGCTCCATGCTGTTGGATTTGCAGGAAGCAATCTGACAGAAAAGTGGGAAAAGCTGCTTGCTATTATATGTTGTGTGGAAAAAGAATACAATGGATAAGGCACAATAAATATGAGTCTAAGCAAAGCATTACTTGAAGAAAGCTGTAATCTTGGCTGTAAGAATCAGTGCAGCCCACATTCTATTACATCCAGTACACCGTAATGTTTTGTGAAGACTGGTTTGGTTTTCAGTGCAGCTCATGGATAATATTGTACCTGCTATTTTAACTGAAGAAAAGCCTTCTGTGGAGCTTTTAAGAGGACAGCTTTGGAAATTCAAAACAACAAGCAATATTTGGGCTTTTTATTAAGTTTGTCTCTTCAAGCACAGAACTATGGGATAAGCTACAGATGCAGGCAGTTAAACAAACCTCTCCTGTGCATAACAAAGTTCACTGGAAAGAGCCATAGAAATAAATCAACTGATCACGAAGTTATCTGATTCTTCCTTCCCACCTAGAAGCCTTCAGTATGTCACCCCAAAGCACGCAGGATGAAGTGCATGGAAACACAAAGACAAACATTCTTTTCACCATAGTAACATTAAATAAAAATGCCTGTTTTCAGCATTGCTGAAACTGACTTGTCAGTCTGCTTTGCTACATGTTCACAAAGGTGCCAGATATCTGACAGGCATCCATGCCATCATCTCTTAGATGACAAATACTGAAGTCTGCAGCCAAATTAATCTTAACATCTTTAAAGTCATTTGAGTAGTTAAAGAGAATTCAACAGCCTATATATCAGAACATGTTCGTGCATAAGCTAGAAATACTCTGGAAGCTATGAATAGATACAGTGAAAATATTCTCCTTTTTTCAGTAGTGCAACCGCTCTCCAAGAACCATCTATGTTCAAAGGGGAAGCAGGGGAGAACTTGACATTAACCTTCATTTGCTATTTTCATGGGATCAAAGGCACACTTAAGATCTTCCTTTCAATGCAAAAGAACACTTCGTAAACAACCAGATTGGCACAGTTTTCAGTGCTATTATACTATCTAAGATAGTGACAATTACAAAAAACATATTTTTTTAACTGAACATGCACAGAAGTACAGCAAGGACAATGGTCTCAGAGCACTTTTCAGAGCACCTTCACCCTTACTTTAAGTCAATCTTTATTTTAAAAAATGTTTTGTAGCATGCATATTCGTTATTAATACCATTATTGTTTAGCAGCACTCTAAAGAATGAGGAATTGTAACAGTTTCCTTAAATTAAATTAGTCTCAGCTATCTGAAGTACACAGCAAGGGTTCACAGCTAAAAACAAAACCTACATCACACAAAAATCACACGTGCTGCAAATCAGAAAAAAAATCCCATGAAGAAAATAGGACAGACTCTGAGTATTTTTGTGCAAGGAGGTTGTCCTGATGAAATATGCTTAGTGGAATTCTATCCTACAAAGCCATGAAGCTAAACATTAGTTTATCATAGAAAAGCCCTAGTGTTAAAAACCAAATTGCCTAAATAAGTTGATCTTCTGCCTGTCACATGGATGCAACCATTCAGCTGCAACAGAAGCTGTGCTGTGGTAAAGCTCTGCTTGAAAGTGCCATGATTTCATGTTTGCTCATTTTATCATCTTAAAAACAGTAATTAAGATTTACCTAGCTTGTTATTATTGGCAGTATCTCAAGGCTTCCTGTTTAAATTTGAGAAAAACTCTAATCTGCTATGCACCTATGTTTAGATTGGTACCTGCTTATGTATACAAGAAAATAATATTTATCACAAAACCAGAGAAGATGGTTACCAAATCTCTCTAAAGCTTTTTAAAAAAACTTGGACAAAGGAAAGCAGAGGAGATAGAAAGAAAAAAGATTTCATTGCATCTGTCAGCGACTGACTGAAGACTTGTAAACATCTCTGTAAACATTTTACTCTTCCATAAATCTGAGGTTCTGAAAAAGTAGTTGAAAATTGTCAGGGTCAAATCAACAAGGTTGCTTGACATTTTTGAGAAAGGAAGAAGAAGGAAAGTATGCTTATAATTTTACATGAGGACCTAAGAAGGGGAAAAAAAGGAATACAAACTCCTACACAAGCTATTCAAACTGCTATACAGCTTTGCTTTTTAACATTATCCATGCAGTCCATCAGCTCACATCATCCTCAAGTAGAGAGCCCATGTTCAACTCCTAATTAGGATTAAAAATATTTGAGACAGAAAGAGCTCATGCTCCATTATCCTCTTACTCAAACCAAAAGAAAAGAGAAACTAGTTTGCTCCTAGAATCATGGTATCACTCAGGTTGGAAGAGCTCACTATGATCGTCCAATCATCAGCCCAGACTTCTCAACAAAAGATTCTACAAAATTAAGAGGAAGAAACCAGATGTAGCAACACACTACAAACACTAATCCTAAACAAAGTACAGATGTGAATAGTCAGTACATTCTACATGCAAGTGAACAATATAAGTTGTCTGAAAATCCAAAGGGGAAGAGAAAGATTCTGGTCTCTAAATTTAGAGAACTGAAGAATGAATCCAACCTAAGTTTGAATTTACCTACTTCAGAGGGAGCCAAGCTACAGTCCTTGCTAAATCCTCAACATTTCCTCCCACTGTTACCACCTTCTTATCATGAACAAGTATAACCCAGATGGATTTACTTCAGATCATTTAACACGCCAAGAACTTCACACATCACTATGAAAGGATATCTTCTGCTGCAGATTTCACCACTGCTGTCTCAATTCTACAGCACACTTGACAGCCAGAGGTGGAACAATAAAAAAAAAACCAATGAAACAAAAACAATAAAACACAACTACATTTCTCCATGCCTTGCCAAATAGAGAGCACAACTGATAAGGAGACCTAGAAAGTGATGAATTGCTAATTCCACACAGCCCGTAGATTTTACACATTCAGTGATATTCCTAAGATGTTTGTACATCTGCCCCAAAGTACAGCTATAAATACTGTTCAAAGCATACATTTTATTTATGTTAAGTAATTTCCAAATAGCAGCCTATCTTGGGTTTAAGCATGATAGTGAGACTGCCATACGAAAACTCATGGGCTCTCTGCCATGTAATATCTATCACATAAGTTTAAGCTCCTGTGGTCAAAGCATAGGCTAAAGGATTGATCAAAACTGTTTTAGGAAACCACAAACATTCTACTGGGCTGCTGTTACAAGAGATCAAGAGCCACAATGGGTACTGCTAGGCAGATTTAATTCGGGTTCTGGTTGTATTACTAATCCTAAAATAGAGATAGATAAATGTCCAAAAGTGCCTTCTTTTTCCTTCATTGACAGGCTCCTTTGCAGAAAGCACTGCTCAATCCTTTACAAGATGATGGTAATTTTATGATGTAATTTATTTTTTTTTTGCATAATACATCAAGTTGTAAATCCTCCCAGTTTAACAACCATCTGGACCTCTGGACTCTGTGGCTCACATTATCTAACGTTTACCACAGTTAGTTTACGTTCTGTTTGTTGAACATTGGTTTATTATATTTTATGTTGAATATTTGTTGCCCAGATACTGGACACTTTATCTCTTCCTAAGCAAATTCACCTACTTCATCATTTTCATACTGGTGCTATCATTTACTTATCAAGAAAACCTATAGAAGAAGCTGATAAAAGCTTAAGATGACCTTCAGTTGCCCTTCAAATAGCCTCATACAGTAGTTCCAGTTGTAAGTAAAGTAGCTACAAAAAGTAGCAAGATTATTTATTAGATCTCTCCTCATTTATATGATTCAGACAACCTTTTTCATCTGTTTCTTCATATTTGAGGCTGTAAGGGCTGTGCATGCATTTATTAACTCTGTCATAGAGCTATAGGCAGCTATAGGCACCTGCTGCCCACTAACAAACACACAGCAGACCTGTTCAGGCACCTGCTGTGACCACTCAATGTATGGATATGTATATCCACAAAAGAATGTTAAAAACATTAGAAAAGTACATAGAAAATTTGTAGGTTTTTTTTTTTTCCCCACTGGAAAGAAGATGATAGATTCACTATCAAGAGAATGTGGTAACTTCAGCTTGCATGTAGTACATTAGAAGCAACCCTGCAAGTTTCTCAGTTACACATAAGAACTTTCCTGGACCAACAGATCTCTTACAATCAACATGTGTATGGGCAAAATTAAATATCCTCTGATCTCAGCTCTTTGAGAAACAATGCAGCATTTTTAAACAAGATGATTTTTCAACCATTTTTTCCAGCAACTGCAACTGGCAACTATTTCTCAAAAGACATCCTCTTCAGCATTGTGTGGACTACTCACATACTCAAACAAAAACTTGCACCTAGGCTAAAAACAGGAGGAAGACAAACATGCATTTTAATATGATGAATGGAATTCTATTTTTGTACTGCCATTCTGGTTGTCTATAGGGACACTGTGGAAAATTAAAAAAAAAACAAAGGAATTCCAATGTGATCCAATTGGCAGTGCCCTTAATCTTCCTTAATATACGGAATTTTTCAATCCATAAATCTGAGTCATAGCTACATACCTGCATGTTTATTACAGTCAGATAAAATCAATTAAAAGCCCCAGACTAATTCTAGTTACTGGACTCAGAAAATAACTAGAATACTTCCATTCTCATGCTCCTCCACCCAGCATATAAAAACTGTTCTTACAATTGTTTTCTGAATTACAGGCATGTACCTAAAAAAAATATTCCGCTTGCAGACAGGCTTTGGAAGGAGAAATGTCCACCATTTTTCTGTTCCACCCAGCTTGTAGATAAAAAGTCTATTTTTTATTTTCTAAATTAATGAATGTGTTACCAATACTTGACATCAGCAATTGCAACATTCATTTACTAAGTTTATTTTTTGGAATTCAATGCAGTAACTATGTAACTTCTAGAGTTTGTTACTGTCAGAAGTAACAGAAGTAAAAACAAAATTTTCATTTCCATTTAGAAGTGCCTCTACTTCTTGCTTCAAATAGACAAATGTAAGCACTTCAACTAGCAAATTGACAAGGATTAGCCCATCAGTGCTACCCATCCTGGAGATACCTGAACACTGACATCATCCAAACAGGCACCAGAACAATATATAATCAAAACTTACGTAACTGTTTCTTAAAGGTTTTCCTGTTCTTGCTATTTACTACAGATGCTTCAGAAATTTCAAATTTAGGGCATCAAAAGTCAAAACCTAAAACTCTAACAAGGCAAATAGTGCTCTTTGCCACAGATCAAGCCCCTGGCAACAAAAAGCTACATAGATACAGAAGTCTGAGAACTTCTACCAAGCTTCTTAAAATTTGCTTGTGAGTATTAAAACTTGTGATACTTGTCAACTCCAATAACAACCGAAGTCATTTGTCCTAAGTACTGATTAAATGTGTTTTCTGGTCAGACAAAAATCATGGTTCTTTGCTTACAAATGAGGAAGCAACAACAAGAGTTTACTTCTATCACTTATCTTCAAATCTACTGAAATAACAGCATCAAACCTCTCTGTTGTCAAACTATAAAAGGTAAAATGAAAAATGACCTTTATAATCCTGAAACTATAGCAGTATTATACTAGCTCACATTCTGACAATGATTAAGACACAGTGTTGTATTCCTTGTGCTAGTAACATGGTTTACTCTGACAGCACTCTCCAAGTGCTATATTTCTTTAGTTTCTTATCTGTCTTCAGTCTAACGAAGACCGAAGACTTAGGAAAAAATAGTTACTGCAAGGTTAACACTAGTATAAAATGAATGCAAAAGGCTTGCTAAATTCCTATGAGCACATTTCTACATTATTTGGCAAATGAGACACAGAAGACCTCTCTCAGTGAGACAATAGGTGTTGAATATCCTAGTATGAACAGAATAGGACAGAGAAGTGAACATTTAGGTCTGCTGGCACACTTTAATCATGTCATCATGTCACTCTCCCCGACGTCCTGACAATGGCACTTCCCTACCAAAGCTTACATCTACTTCATTTTACAATAACTGAGCACAGTCTCTCAAGATTAGTATATTTTGCTAGGAAAGCCAAGCTCAGGCAAGATTTATGTTGGCCTGACTTCTAATGTACAATCACTTTAAACTATGAAATATTTACTATTAATAAAGTAGACTATCCCTGTCTGGCAGAGAATATTATTTTCTGCAAGTTATCAAAGAAAGTCTTCTCTGAACTTATAAAAGATCAGCGCTGTTGAGTGTAATTGATTTGGCTTAGTCTTTTGAATTTTGCTTTGTAAGACAATTTAAATATCTGCAACTTAAAAAACACACAGCGTAGAGAGAGAAAATACAGATTTAGCAGTCCAAAAATACTGCTATACCCACCTGCTACATTAAGCTTTTCGACTGCTCCTAAGCTGGGAGCTGGAGTGGTGGTATTGTTGGTAGAATTTGCTCCTGTTCCATTAAGTACAAGATTTTCCACTTTGGACTCCAGTTTCCCAATACGCTGCAAGATATTATCCAACAAGACTGCAAGTGTTTTCTTCAAATCTACAAATGAAAAGTTAGATTGCTTAATAATGAATGCATGCTATCAGAATCAAAAATAGATATGAGAATGAGACTGAAATACACACAGACACGCACACTTTATCAGTGCACTATTGTTCCATATTTTGCTTGGCCTTAGATACAAGCTTTCCATGATGTGTAACTGGTCTTCCTATGTACTTTATAAAGCACAGTACAACTCACAGATGTATCCTACATTCAAAGAGAAGTATGAATATAAATGGGATAAAAAATAGGAAAAACAGGAAATAAAAAACATGTTTTGTGATAGTTCAAGTAATAATAAGTTACTTAAACAACAGTGAATGTCTGCATTTTACTTAAGAGCACCCACCATCTGCCTTCAGGTGTTATTCTGGAGCTCTATATAGACAAACACACCTTCACTTTACCTAGAGACATACTATACCCTCTCTAACTGGAATGTCCTAAGAAAACAAAAGAACTTGACTCTACTGCAAAAACACATCCCAAATCATTCAGTTCTTGCAAAACTGCCCATCCAATTTACAACATCAGCTGGACACTTCAAATTAAGCATCAAGTAGAAAGGAAAAAAGAGAAATGAAGGACAAAGTACTTTCATTTAAAAGCAAAGCCAGAATTAGATTTGAGTGAGATACTGGACCTGGAAGTCTTTGCTGTATTACCCAACTATTTCAATAACAAGACCTAAATCCATAATAAAGAGCTCTTAGAGGAACAGAATCCAACATTCTGTCAGATTCTCAGTCACTTGGAAAACAAATTTCCACTTCCAAAAGAAGGGAAAGTTTTGAACCAGTACAGAAACCTCCTGACTCTCTTCCACCACAACCAGGTTTTACACTGGCACAGAGTGTTGAAATGTACCCAAACCACCATAAAATCACTTGTTTCTTCAGTCCGTGACCGTGTCTACTTATCTGTTTGATCAGATGTAGCATTTCCAGGAAACCAACAAAGGGTATTTGGATTTTGCCTATCATATAACAACCCAGAAAGTGTTTTGTGATTTTTTTCTTCTTTTCTATTTTTTTCTCTTCAGTTTTCTCAAGGTAACGCAAACACCTGGGTAAGCTAAAAGAATTACAGGCAAGAGAAAAAAAACAGACAACTTTCATATTAAAAATTTATAATTCAAGTGGCAATAAGCCAAATAAGATGAAAGTATTGCTCTTTGTTCACTTACCCTTACGATTAAGGAATTCGGTATGATAAATTTACATTATTTTCCCACATAATTACATATATATATATATGTATGTATAATACCCCTTCTACTTTCCACTTTAGAATCAGATAACTTTCTGATCTGTAACAGAAAATTCCTCCATACATTTGAAGAGATTAATCTGTCCCAACATCAGTTGTAGTTCTTTGTATTTTTTCTTAGGAGCAGCTCAAATCTTATGCAAATGTGAGAGTAAACAAGGGAAGGCTGTTACACTTGGAAAGCTTATGATTATTTTCCCCTAATATAAAGGAATCCTATTTCTTCAATGAAGCCATAAAGATTTTATTTATTTATTTATTTTGTAATTGTGTTTTCTTTAGTCTGCTGAAGACTGGAATCTTATATGCTAATAATATGGACTGCCTTGATATAATTTTAAATATTGGCACGGTGCAATACAGTGAAGGATAAAAGAAGCATTTATGTATATGTGATGTTTCACAGTGGGAGTCCAGAAGACATTTAGTGGCAAGTCTGCAGAAGGAAAGAGTGGAACAGGGATTTAACATCAACAAAAACATGGAATAGAGGAAGAAAATCCAGGAAGAAAGTAGAGTGGAATATTCAGGAAAAAATGAGGAAGAAACATAGTACACAAAGGCATACACAAAGAATCAAAACAGCTAACATTGTATCCTTTTCATAGTAATACCAAAACAGTGATACAAGACACTTCTTGTCAGAACAAAACAGCAGTTGGAGGCCAATTTGAGAAAGAGATGGCCAAAGTGGGCATTCAAAATAATTTTTGCAAAACAACCATTTACTACTATAAAAATCTAATACTTATTGTGTATATTTGAAGTACAACTTTTTTAAAGAATGTGTTTGATCCATCAATCTGACAGGCCAATATAAAGTATAAAGAAAAGAGGGAAAGCAAAGAAACTGTGCGATCCAAATTAATGAATGACTGAACAACCTTCAAGTGGGTAAGAGTGGCCAAAGCAAGCAAACTTAGTACTTTCTCTTGAAAACAGGAATCATGACTGTGCTCATTAATAGCAATCAGAGGATAAGATTAAAAGAAATAAAAGGCTAAAAATCAAGAGCATATCCAGTACACTCAGACCTAGCCAGGGCTCTTTTGGTTGGTAATCTTGCGTGAGGCTGGGGGGAAGGAGGGGCAGCCTTGAACCCAGATGATCTTTGAGGTCCTTCTTTCTAGCCCAAGTCATTCTGTGATTCCGTAAGAGCAGTTGTCGTAGAATAATGAAGCAGCTTCATTACCATTAACATGAGACAGTAATGTGTTTATTCCTAAAGAACTAATCTGATAATTTGCTATCAACAAATCATTTGGTGTGCCAAGGAGTGACTAACTGGCTATTCTACTCAATTTAATACAGTATTATTTAATCCAGTGCCATCCACTCACCATAGCACTTTTCCCACTGCATTTTTACATGACTTTACATCCTTAAAAACAGTTTAATTTGAAAAAACTTGTCTAAACTCGTCTTTAAACTCAACATTCTTTTTATACATGGACCTCAAAATTTCCATGCAAAATTTAGCTTTAACTTACAAAAATTTTACAGTTATTTCACATACCTTCAAATGCCTTTAACTTCTCCTGGGGAAGTTGACCATTGTTTGGCAGCAATTCAACTTGTTCCACAGCAGGATTCAGAACAGGAAATAAAAGTCATAGGCCAAAAATTGCAGGGAGAATTCAGATAAAGGATATCCTGTACACTCAAGCCTAGCCAGGGCACAGATTCATGCAGTTACCCTTTAACTTCAGGAGAAAGATGAAGTTTTTTTGTTTTTAATTTTTTTCTTCATCAATCATCCTTACAAGATAATGGGACACTGATAATTGTTAAATAGCAGATAGAGGGTTTTTAAAGCCTATGCAAACAATTCACCAGCTGGTCAAGAGTGGTGCACCTTTCCCTCTATTCAGCATTGGTGAAGCCACATATGGAGTGCTGACCAGTACAGCGGAGACCTGGAACTCCTGGTGAATGTGCCGGTGCAGAGCACCAGCAAGTAATCAGTGGACAGGAGCATCTCTGAGAGAACCGGGAGGACTGTTCACCCTAAAGAAGCAGATGATCAGGGGGACTAAATCACAGTGTACAAATAACTGAGGGAGGTTGCAAAGAGGACAGAGAAAGCTATTTTCAGAGGCGTCCAGGGCCAGGATAAGAGGCAATGTGAACAAACTGGAACACAAAAGGTTTCATCTAAGCATCAGAAAGCACTTCTGTGCTGTGTGGGTACGAGTAGCCCAAATAGTTTGTGCAGTCTCCTCCTTGGAGATCTTTAAAAGCCACCTGGATGCAGTCCTGGACATCCCACTCCAGGTGCTGGGGCAGAGGTTGGAGAAGATGGGCCCAGAGATCCCTGCCAATCTCAGACACTCTGCGAGTTTGTGAAGGACCTCTACTTGCTTGGAAGGCTTCAATCCAAATATTTATCTAGAGCCACTCTATTAAGCTTACACTGCTCTGTAAAATTACAATACCAGTACAGTTCAAAGTGCAAACACACATCAGTAGAAGTTACTGAAGAGCTGAAGAATAGGGACTCCCTGTTAAATTTAATCAACAAAGCAATGTAATTGTTAGCTGTGTTACAGATGATACTCTCAGCCTTACAGGCAAGGACCTTTTCATAAACTCCATTCTTTTGTTCTTTTCAGAGGAAGAAGTGGTAACAGAAATGAGAAGACATCCAGTACAATATTTTCACTAATATATTAATAATATAAGATGTTCATTTCACCAAAGAGAAATGAGTATGAAGAGAAAACGAGAGAAAATAGTGCAGATCTGATCTGCTGCATCCTAACCATCATTATTTTCTAATCCTACAAAAAAACCTGATTTTTGATAGCAGAATATTAAGACAACTTTAAAAGCAAACAAATCTAGATGACTGATTTTTTAATTATCCAGACAGTCTAAAAGTGCATGGGTAAGTAGGAAAGAAAGTGAGCTTAAAAATAGCTAAAAAGGTGTATGATGTGATTCTACCAGATTAGAAAGAAACCTCACCTCATGTAATATTAGATTACATTTTTGTTTTCATATTATTTTCTAAAAATGCTTCATTCACTTTTACAAGCCTTGCTTCATACATACACACACACAAACTTAAGTGCCATCTTGTATGAAATGGAGGACAGGAAGTCCTACAAACTGCCAGACAAAGCACCGAAATTCATGAAAAGAATGTTCTCTACTCTGAGGTAAATATGATATATTTAAGCTTAAATTTAACCTTAGGACACATCCATGAGCTTAAATGTTAGGGAAATCTACTGGATATAAATGTGCAATGGAAAAGAGAAGAAGAAAAACAGAGCAGGTCTCCATCAGCAAAATAAGTTATTCATGTACAAGGAATTTCTTCCAACTCTGACATGCCAACTGAAAAGTCTCCTAAGGTTTTCCTTAACAGCAAAGCCACACATTTTTTTAAATCAAGTTCTAACACTTAACTTGAGGCATAACATATATGGCTACTAGACAGATGCAGGGGAAAAAAAGCAGATAATTTCTTTTCCAAGTGACTGAAAATTTAAATCTTGTCCCATTTCATAACTTACAAGCAAAAAATGTTCTTCTCCATCTGTGCAGAAAACCTGCAGTATGAAGTACTGTCAATTGAGCAGCGTCACGAAGTACAATGTTTGGACATCTTAGAAAAGCCCTTGATCAGATTATCATGTAATCTAGAACACACACTTACCGTATGCTGTCACTGTTCCAACATAAGGTCCATCAACCACATTTTTATTTTCTTCAGCTAATGCTTTGATATATCTTTTGCTGAGATCCAAAATTTGTTCACGCAGGACTGAACTGCTTTCGTGTTGTGTTTGCTGCTGAATAGTGAAATGCAGAAGCATCATTCCCCAAATAAAGCCAAAAGTCACCAGAAAAAAGCCAAGTTTCTGAGAGGACAGCTTCCATGGAGAGAATGCCATGATTCCCAACAGCTTCTCACAGTTAGTATGAAGGTTCCTAAAGCATGAAGCCAAAGAGCAAGTTCATGGTCCAAGTATATGCAGATCACAGAGCAGGACTCAGTCTTATTCCGACTCCTTAGTCAACATATATCTGTATTTCAGCTCCATCCTGTTGCAAGAGGAAAGAAAAGTAGCAAAAAGTTAATGCAAAACATTAGAAATTTTTATGAGTTACAGTAAGTCTTTGCCATAACTAGTACTAAAAGATGTAGACAATGTGCTTTTTTCCAACTGTTTGATTTGTATGCATCAATATTGCACTGTGTTACTCAGAGCACAAACTAAGAAAAGCACTGGAAACAGAACAAAGAAAAAGCGATGTGCCCGAGCAGGTGTAGAACACCTCTCAATATCTGGATCAAGTTCAATGCTTGAAGCTGTTTCCAATCTAAATTTCAAGACAAGGTTGCTTCAACGTATTTTGATTTTTCCTGTGTGTACACAAAACTTCATGATGTTGCCAATGCAGCAATTTAAGACGATTCTTAACGTAATTCAGTTCTCAAAAAACGAGTAATTTTAGCTGGCAATGACACTGTTAGGAGATCCTGGCAAGAGCTATGGCATATGGCTAGATAGATGATCAGGAAATCAGACTCCCTCAGGGGTAAAGAGTGAGGAAAAAAAACCCACAAAAAGAAGTCTACATTATTTAAACCAATACACTCTCCTGGCTTACACTGCAAGTAGTCAGAAGGCTGGAATAATCTCTTCTTGCTCTTGTGTGGCCTCTGCCATGCATCGTTACTCCTTATTCATAAAACGTAATCCAGTGAGTCTGCACTTTACAGCTAAATTCAAAACACGTATTACTTCTGAATGCTACAACACATCTTTTGTATCTAAAATTAATATTCTCAGTGCTTTTCCCACACTAAGGAAAAAGAGTTGGCTAGCTGCCTTGAAAAGAGAGAAACAGTAGGACCATCTTTTCACTGTAAACTCGAAGATAAAAACTGGCGTAAAGTATCCAAAGGCAAGAAAAGCTGTGTGATGAGGGCTGAAGGCAGGGTCTTTAGCATAAAACCCTACAATAGAAGAAAGGTAATTCAAAGGTAATTAAGTGTAACCTATCATGTTAAAACACAGATTTGGTAAAATGTGATCCTTTTAACTTCATAATGGTCCCAGACAGGATTAGAAAATATAATGTTCCCTTCCATTCTGCACATGCACAGATAATGCAGATGTTACTTTGTTTTAATAGGATAATTACACAGATGCCTGCTGGCAGTACTCTGGTAAAATTCCCTTTAGATCTTCCCCTTTCAGTTCAACCAACAGTTCTGCAGTAGGACAGAAATGCCTTTGGACTACTCAACTTCCAACACAACTTGTGGGTGCACGTAGCATTACTGATTACTACTGATTGCCAAAATAAATGCATTACGCAGAAAACTAAAAGCAGAACAGAAAGTAACTGTAGAATGCATTTATGCTGCTAAAAGAACAATCTGTAGCCATCTGTTGCTTAGGAAGAATGGCAAAGAAAAATTGAGACTTCACTGAAAAACATTACAAAAGATTAAAACTGCTTTCCATAAACGTAAGTCAATTTCCCAAGACAACACAAACTTCACTCATTGCAGTTCACTTCACTATAGTCTAGGGACACTCTTGGGCTGACTGCAAAGTAGAATATTATCATTTTACTAAAAACTGAATGCTGTACTATTTTGCTTGCAACATCTGATGTGGAAAAAAAAAGGATGGATGATTAAAACAACATTGCAATTTCAAAAAGAAATCTGAAACATCCAACATAATTCCCTCAGTGAGTTGAGAGTTTCATGAAAGAACTGACAGCGTACTCCATAGCAGTAGGACCTGAAGTTAAAACACTCAGTATTTCTTATCCCCCTTTATCAATTTTACATGAAGATGAAGACACTGAACAAGAAAGTAAACCTACCAGCAGACATGTGCTAACAAAATTTTTGTAATTAGTTTAGGAGAAAACACAGTTAATACTAAAAACAGCAATTCAAAAAATGCAAGTATCATTTTTTATCCGGCGCGTGTCTAATCTTATAAGCATTCTCTACATAAATAAAGCTTTTAACTTTTCTATTCCGTTCATCAACAAACAGGAAAAGAATCTTAAATACAATCAAAAAAATAAGAAGATAGTCAGGAAAAATTGAAGTTTTTCCATGAGAAAGAATCAAGATACTCTGGCACAGGGAAGAATGGCCCCCACTACTTTGAGTCATAAAAGAAAAAAGAAATCAGCTCTTATGGAAACATATCTGTATGTGCCTCTGAAGTGTAACAGACTTTTTTCCTTTTTCTTTTTAAAGCTTTGGAAAGAGGTGGTCTCACTCTAAGATAACTCTTGAAACAATTCCAGCACCTCTCCAGATACGTCCTAGTTGTTCAGTTTTAAGTGAAAGTGGTAGGAAGGTGATTCATCCTGATTTTCTGACAACACCTAATGTACCAAAACTAAAAGTCAAGTGAGAAAGACAAGGTGATACTGAAAAGATATACAAGGCAAAAAAAACCCACACTTTATTAAAAGATCAGTTTTGTTTTGTTCTTCCTTAAATTCAATTCCAATTGTTCAAAATCTCATCATAACCAAATCGGTAGACATTTTTTCCTTGCTTCAGACACACTTTATTTTCTCTTTTAAACAGATGAGTTCCACCCATTGCAATAAACATAACTCAGCATAGAACTGCCACTGCCCATAACAGCCATAGTTAGCACATTTCTTTGGAATAAAGGGCTAACATTATACCCATTCTACATAGGTATAAGAGTTTCAATAATCTTAGTATTTTTAGTATTTTAGTTTCATTAAAGCACTTTTTTTTTCCTGGTCTATATTTAATAAGCCACTGTTTGACAGCTGGACAATTCATCAGTTAGAGAGAATAATATTACCATTCCTACATCATCATAACCCAAAACTCCTCACACTGTTTAGGATATCAGGAAACTAATACCAAAGTGACCCCGTGTATCAGAGATGCAAACCACACGTTTCTCAGCATTCTAAGCCTTAGTGTTACAGGTGAGCTTGTTTTGTTTGTTTGAAGGCTTAGAATACAGTACAAACTGTTAATGTTCATGTGAACAGATTTTGATGTTCATCTACAGTACAGCTAGAAGAGATTAAGTAAAGTCTCTGTAGTATGTACCTATAGAAAGATTAAAGCTCTCTGTTCAATCTACAGCCATGTAAGAAATGAAGTCAGGGTAAGCCTGGAACTGCTCTTTCCTCAGCTAAGATTCCAGGGGAAATTCCACACTGTTCATCAACATCTCCACAGCTAAAAAACCTTAATTGTTTGTAGCCAAAGCAGTAGCATAAAAGTAGCAGCAGATAAACATTATTTATTATTAATTTCTTATGAGCTCAAACATGAGCGTAGTCGTATTGCATGACTAGTAAACAGTGTATAAGTGTTTCTGTACCAAGTGGCTCAGTGAAAACAGCACTGCTGCTGTGAGGAATAGAGCTCAGGCCTTCCACCAACTGCAAGGCTGAAATGGCCACCTGAGAGCCACTCCTTGGCAGCATCACAGGGCCCAGGGCTAGGAAGATACAAAGGTCTCGCCATCACAGGATGCAGCTCCCAGTGCTCAACACACAGCATCACCTCTGCAGTGCTGTGCACTCATCATTTACTTAAATAGAGATTGTTACAAATTAAGTGCTTTGAATATGCAGTGACAGTGATGAGGAAAGAGTAAGAGATAAATAATAGCGATAATGTATTGTTAGCAAGCATCAGTCTAGTGAAGTTCTGTCTTCAACTTTTTAAATCTGTAGAAAGCAAATTTCCCAGTGTTCTTAACCATCACTCACAGCAATCTCTAATTCTCCTTACTTCTAATTCTCCTCTTACCCATATGCATGCACAAACATGCACTCAGCCCCAACATCACACCACCACGCCTAACTGACAAATTTCGCTACTGCATCACAGCCAACTCCAAGAGGTTCTCTTAGAAAACCCACGCATTAGGATCCTAATGCAAACATTGATCTGTTTTCCAGACTGTTTGCTGAAGAGGCCATGCTGCACTTCTGCTTGCAACCATCTGATACTGTAGAACAACTCCTAACAGGCTAACAGAGGACAAACATCAAGATGCGAGTTTCCTCCATTCTTATAGAAGATACATTAACCTAGAAGTTAATGACAATTCAAGCACCAATCCAGTGCTCTGCCAGCACACCAGAGCCATAGCCAGAAAATAGTGGTGAGTGAAAACACTTGCCACATCCTCATGCTCCTCTGCTACGGCATGCCAGGAGTCATGCTTTGTGCAGAAGCAGATGTATTACATCTTAAGAGACAGGCAACCCTCTAAAACCTCTTTCCTAGGAGAACTGAGTACAACGGGGATTGCTAGGCTTTAATAGTTTAAAACAGGCTCCAACATACACATACACTAAAATTCCAGGCTAATGTTAACTCATCTCCTCCTTCAGCTCCATTGCCTAAACAGATGTGCATTATACCCCAACTGAATGCAAATTAATGGATTTCCTGGTACTGAGGCTTTCTGTTCCTGAGGGAGCATTCCAGCAGATGTTCCAGCCATGCTGGCCAGTCTGCCTTCTCAGCCAGCACAACCATTACCCAAGTCTGCCCGTTTTTCCCTGCTTTACTTAGTGCAAGATGGCAAGTTTCTTTACTGGTGTTGGAAGCTGAATTCACCTTTCCTTCTTCCAAGATACAGCATTAATAATGCAATATACTACTACCTATTGCACATAACAGTCATGTGCTGCGATCGGAAAAGACCAGAAAAAAAATCATGAGAGAACAAAAAACGAGCCAGGTTTCCGATAAGAACACTTACATTTGAACAACTTCTGACTTGATCGTACCACGTACGCTTTGACTCCAGTACTGACATGTCAACAAAGCAAACTCAGGAAATACCCTCTGATAGCATAAACCACACACACATCTAATCAAAAGCCAGTGCCCTTAACTGCTATGTTGAAGATTCAGAATCAGCTTCACTGCCATTTTAGTCACTGACCATCTTAAATGCAAAAAGCATGGGGCAGACAGTAAATCCAGCTCTTTCCACACGTGGTTACTCTGAAGTGAGGAAATACGTGGCCAGATCAGATTTAGTCCC